AAACCCTAAACCCTAAACCCTAAACCCTAAACCCTAAACCCTAAACCCTCTGCCGTGCGCACTTCGAAGAGTGTACCTGCCTCTGGGTCCAGCTGTAGTGCGTTTGGCGGCCTGTGAAGCTGGGGCGGCCTCGCATAGACCCCGCGCTGCTGCAAGCCGTACTGCTGCTGCTGCTGCTGCTGCTGCTGCTGCTGCTGCTGCTGCTGCTGCTGCTGCTGGGGGCTGTCGGAGAGGTTGAAGGAGGCCCAGTTGAGGCGGTACTTGTGCTGCTTGCCGGGGACGTACTTGCCGTTCATGTGCTCGAGAATATACTGAGCTAGGGTTTGGGAGTTAAACTCCACAAAAGCAAAACTTGGCTGTCTGCTGCTGCGGTCTCTGCAAACCCTAACCGCTAAAACAGAGTTTAAAAACTCCCAAAACATTTGCTGCCGCACGTAACCCTCGTCCACAAGGGCCCCCGCCCGGTCCAGGTCCCCCACCCACAGCGTTCTCTTTTCCCGGGGCCTCAGGGTGCTGCTGGACCTGGCTTCGTCCCCGGGGGCCCCGGGGGGCCCCCGCGGCGCCAGCGCGAGACCCACGCGCGGGAACGGCCCGGGGGCCCCCGGAGAACGCAGCCCCCGCGACGCCGCGGACAGGTAGGCGCACGACATTGGGCACTTTCGGGAGTTTTTGGATAAAATTGAAAGGCTTTTCAGGTTTTAATTGGCCAGAAAAGTTTTAAATGAAGAAAAATGAAGAAAAATGAGCTCAAATGAAGACAGACAGCCGACGCCGCCGCGGCGGAGTGTACAGACACCTCAACAGACACTCGGAAAAACCCCGCCAAAACGGGAAAACGACAAAATCAAAATTGACAAACGACAAACAATTATAATAATTCAATTTAATTCAATTTAATTCAATTTAATTCAATTTAATTCAATTCATTTTCGCAGTTCGACAATCCGGAATTACTTGTTTGATAACAGACGCAGCAGCAAAAGAAAACCTCCGCCGGCTGCCGCCGCCAGCAGGCACTCGCAGCGCCGCAGCCAGCGGCAGCTCCTCTTTGTTTATTTTTTAATTTAAAGTTGAAATTAATTCAAATAATTTAATTTAATTTTCATTTAATTTCATTTCTTCGGAGAAACAGACAAAGCCGCTCCGCAGCCCGTTCCGGTGTCTGTACACCCGGAGCCGCACTGCCACGCCGGAGCTCTTCATGCCTGCGTTGTTCTCAGCCTCGAGAGGTTCAAAAGGTCTTTTTAATTGAAAACTTTATTTAAAATTAAATTTAAATTGCATTTAAATGCAATTAAATGTACTTTTACGCATTAGAAGTTCCCATTCCCCCGATTTGCACGGCCAACGACGCCCCTGGGGAAGTGACCGCCCAGTGGACCAATGGACCACTGCGGAGTTCGGGTGTACAGCCACCCCACACAGCAGCAGAATTAAAACACTCTCCCTCACACAAAAGATCGAAGCAGCAAAAGAAACTGCCGCAGCACCAGCAGCTAGCTATAGTTAGCTCCAGCTAGCTACGGCTAGCTCCAGCTAGCTACGGACAGTTACAGCGAGCTAGAAATAGCTGCGGCGAGCTCCAGCGAGCTCCGGATAGCTACAGCTAGCTGCAGCAAGCTACGGCTAGCTGCAGCAAGCTGCAGCAAGCTGCAGCAAGCTACAGTTAGCTGCGGCAAGCTGCGGCTAGCTACAGCTAGCTGCAGCAAGCTACAGCTAGCTGCAGCTAGCTGCAGTTTGTGGCGGCTAGCTAGCTGCAGCTAGCTGCAGCAAGCTACAGCTAGCTATAGCTAGCTGCAGGCGACCGTAGCCAGTCAAAGTGGTCAGCCACAAAGGCTGTCGGCGGCCTCCCACAGCCGCACCAGCTTGTGGCGGCTAGCTAGCTGCAGTCAGTGGCGGCTAGCTAGCTGTGGCTAGCTGCAGCTAGCTGCAGTTTGTGGCGGCTAGCTAGCTGCTGTTCGCTGCAGCTAGCTGCAGTTGCACCTAGCTGCAGCTAGCGGCTAGCTGCAGCTAGCGGCTAGTTGCAGCTAGCTGCAGCTAGCTGCTAGCTAGAGCTAGTCCCCTCCCAGCTGCAGCTAGCTGTGGCTAGCTGTGGCTAGCTGTAGCTAGCTGTGGCTAGCTGTGGCTAGCTGTAGCTAGCTGGCTCCCGAGCAGCAGCACTTCTGTGGCATTTTAAAGCATCAGAATTTGTCTTCTTTTGTTTCTTAGTTTCATTTTCTCTTTTTTCATTTAAAGACAAAAACCCTAAACCCTGAGGCAAGTCCTAAACCCTAGAAACGAAACCCTAAGCCCTAAATTTAAACCCCAAACCCTAGCTACTAAACCCTAAACCCTAGACACTAAACCCTAAGCCCTAGGCACTAGCCCCTTAACCCCAAGCGCAAATACTAAACCCTCAACCCCAGTAACAAGCTCTAAACCCTAAACCCTAAACCCTAAACCCTGGCACGAGCTCCCACATGCAGCGGGTGAGCAATCCTGAGCCTTAAACCCTAAACCCTAAACCCTAAAACGAACCTTAAACCCTCGCAAGGAGTCCCAAATGGGGCCCCCGGCAGCACATAGACCTTCAAAAAAAGGCCCCTCGCGGGGGCCCCTAGCGGGGGGCCCGGTTCCCCCGGGGGTTCCCCCCGGCCCAAGGGGGCCCCCAAGGGGGGCCCCCAAAGGGGCCCCCCTTGGGGGCCCCCAAGGGGGGCCCCCAATGGGGGCCCCACCTGAAGAGCCTCCAAAAAAATCACAGCCAGGACTTCCCTTAAGGGGGCCCCTTAATGGGGGCCCCCCAATAGGGGCCCCCCAAGGGGGGCCCCTATTGGGGGCTCCTGATTGGGTACCCCTCAATAGGGGCCCCTGAATAGGGCCATTTGCGGGGGGCCCCCGAGGGGGCCCCTAAAGGGGGGCCCCCAAGGGGGCCCCTAAAGGGGGGCCCCCAAGGGGGCCCCTAAAGGGGGGCCCCTTCATTGACAAATCGAGAGAAGCCAAAGAAGTTTGGAGAGCTACAATGACAGAGAGTGCAATGTCTGTCTCTAAACACAAAAAACGCGAGATTGCTGCTGCTGCTGCTGCTGCTGCTGCCGCTGCTGCTGCTGCTGCTGCCGCTGCTGCTGTTGTTGCTGCTGCTGCTGCTGCTGCTGCCGCTGCTGCTGCTGCTGCTGCCGCTGCTGCTGCTGCTGCTGCTGCTGCCGCTGCTGCTGCTGCTGCTATTGCTAAGGCCAGCAGGCAAACTAAGGCCAGCAGGCCCCCGAAGCGGCAAGTGCAACAGACTGCGCAGCAGCAGCAGGAAGAACTGCAGCAGCAGCAGCAGCAGCAACTGCGTCTGCAGCAACCTAAACCTGCAGCAGCAACAAAGCTGCTGCTAGTTATAAATGTGCGGCTGCTTTAAACAGACTTACAGGAGAACTGCAGGAGACCCACAGAAGAGCAGCAGCAGCAGCGGCTGCTGCTGCTGCAGCAGTAACTGCAGCAGCTGCAGCAGTACCTGCAACAGCTGCAGTACCTGCAGCAGCAGAAGCTGCAGCAGCAGAAGCTGCAGCAGCAGAAGCTGCAGCAGCAGCAAAAATACACACCCCCATAAGTGACGCTTTAATTGCTCCTTTGGAGGAGCAGTGCAGACTGGTGAGTCGGTTGCAGCAGCAGCAGCAGCAGCAGCAGCTGCTGCTGCTGCTGCTGCTGTGCTTCCTGGCCCTGCTGGCTCACAGCTGCTGCTGCATTCTGCTGCTGCTGCTGCCAATCCCGCGGCTGCTTTGCTGCTGCACGAAAATGTACCAACGAGCTGCTTCGTGCAGCGAAAAAGAAGGCAGCGGCTGCGGGGGCCCGTGAGCTTTTGCTGCTGGGCAAGCAGCAGCAGCAGCAGCAGCAGCAGCAGCAGCAGCAGCAGCACGCTCTAGAGCCAGCAGCAGCCGCGGCAGCTGCAGGGCGGGGAGAGCCAAGACGAAGTGCTGCGGCGCGTCTGCGCGTGCTGCCAAGTGCTGCAGCAGCAGCTGCTGCTGCAGCTGCTGCAGCTGCTGCTGCAGCTGCTGCTGCTGCTGCTGCTTGACGTCTTGCTGCTGCCGCCGGTGGCGCTCCCACAGCTTCTGTATCTCGCGCTCGTGCTGCGTCAGTTGCTGCTTAAGCTGCTGCCAGCTGCAGTTTTGCTGCTGCTGCTGCTGCAGCTCCCGCTGCTGCTTGCGCTGCAGCTCCTGCATATCCCTATTTCTGTGCTGCAGCAGCAGCTCGAGTTGCTGCTTGTGGGCGCGGAGGGTCTCCTGGGCGCTGAGCTGAGCTGCTGCTGCTGTTGCTGCGTGCTGCTGCTGCTGCTGCACCTGCTGCTGCAGCTGCTGCTGCTGCTGCGGCTGCCTCAGGTGTCTGAACAGCACAAACGCCACCGGAGACAGCGGCTCTGCCCCCTGGCTTTCGCGCCCCACAAACTGTGCTGCTGCGCAGGAGCCTGCTGCTGCTGCTGCTGCGTCTGCAGCAGCAGCAGCAGCAGCAGCAGCAGCAGGACCCGGAGAAGCAGCAGCAACCACTGCATGCAAAGCAGCCCCGTCAAGAGCTAGCTGCGGCCGCAGCACTGTCACATCTTGGAGACTGTGGGAGACGCAGAGGGACAGCAGCCGTCGAGCTTTTGCTGCTTCCCCTGCTGCTTCCTCAGCAGCAGCAGCAGCTGCTGCTGCTGTTGCTGCTGCTGCTGTTGCTGCTGCTGCTGCAGCCTCGCGGCACTCAAGCACCAAGTGCAGACAATCTGTTCCGCAGCAGCAGCTGCTGCTTCCGTCCGAGCAGCAGTGAAGAGCGCAGCGGCCCACCGCTTGCACCTGCAGAGTCATGGGCGGTTCCTGCTGCTGCTGCTGCTGCTGCTGCTGCTGCTGCTGCTGCTGCTGCCGATCCAGCTGGAGCTGCTGCAGCTTGTCCGGAAGGAAGCAGCCCAGAACAGGGATGGGCTGCAGCGGTGCTGCTGCAGCGGGGCGGTCGTCCGCTGAGACTTCCCGAGAGGCTTCTGCTGCTGCTGCAGTTGCTGCTGCTGCTGCTGCTGCTGCTGCTGCTATGGGAGTTGTGGGCAGCGCACACATGTAGGTTGCTGCTACTGCTGCTTCCTGATCGGCAGAAGCTGCCACTCCAGCTGCTGCTGCTGCTGCAGCCCCAGCAGCAGCAGCAGAATGGCAAGGCAGCGAAGACATGCGGTCCAGCGGAAAGCTTGAGTCCCGCTCTTGCTGCTGCTGCTGCTGCTGCTGCTCCTCGTGCTGCTGCTGCTGCTGCTGCTGCTGCTGCTGCTGCTGCTGATCATCCCTCGTCTGGCTTTCTGCAGACAGCCTCCTCACTGTGCGGCTGCTGCTGGGCTTGGAATGTGCTGCTGGGTTTTGCTGCTGCCTGGTCTGCTGCTGCTGTTGCTGCTGCAGCTGGGAATCCCGCTGCTGCTGGTCTTGGAGCTGCTGCTTCCACTCTTGCTGCTGCTGCTCCCATTCTTGCTGCCGGCGAGCCCATTCTCGCTGGTGCTGCTGCCACTCTTGCTGCTGCTGCTCCCGCTCTTGCTGGTGCTGCTCCCGCTTGTGCTGCTGCTGCTGCTGCTGCTGCTGCTGCTCCCGCTCGTACTCCTGCTCCTCCATCTCGTAGAGCTGCTGCTGCTGCTGCATCTGCTGCTGCAGCCTCTCCTGCCTGCGCAGCTCCATTTCGTGCTGCTGCCTCTTCAAGTGCATCTCGGCCACGAGTTGCTGCTGCATGCGCTGGTGGACATCGTCCCAGCTTTCGGGCTGCTGCTGCTGCTGCTGCAGCTGCTCTATGTCCCGCAGCAGCAGCTGCTGCTGCTGCGGAGTCAGCTGCTGCTCCTCCTCGTCGCTCTCGCTGCTGGGGCGCAGCAGCACGAGGCGCTGCTGCTGCTGCTGCTGCGGCGAGCCCACGGGGCGGCGCGCGGGCGCGCCGGCGGGCGCAGCAGCAGCAGCAGCAGCAGCAGCAGCAGCACGCAGCCGCCGCCCCTCCGGCAGCAGCGCCTCCTGCAGCAACTCTATGTGGTGCAGTGCATGCAGTGTTATCCCGTAGCTAGCTGCTATATATCTGTAGCTAGCTGCTTCATCTGCTGCAGCAAGAGACAAGCAAACCCCCCAGCTGCCGAAGCGCCCCGCGCGGCCCCCCCGGTGCAAAAAGGTCTCCTTGTCCTGCGCAGCAGCAGCAGCAGCAGCAGCAGCAGCAGCAGCAGCGGCGGCAGCAGCAGCGGAAGCGGCGGTGAGAGCGAGGCGCGAGAAGCTCATGCAGCTAGAAGCAGACACGGCAGCTGCAGCAGCAGCAGCAAGCGCAGAGCCGCTGCTAGCAGCAGCAGCAGCAGCAGCAATAACAACAGCAGCAGCAGCAGCAATAACAACAACAGCAGCAGCAGCAACAGCAGCAGCAGCAGCAGCGAACCATGGGCAGGTTGAAATTGATGACGAAGTCCACGCCAACTGCGTCGATTCCGCGGCTCATCTGAAACAAAACCCAAACCCTAAACCCTAAACCCTAAACCCTAAACCCTAGCCTGAATCCCAGAACCTCATCCTAAACCCTAAATCCTAAACTCTAAAGTTCAAAACCTAAAGCCTTAACCTTAATATAAGCTAAACCCTGAAGCCTAAACCCTAAACCCTAAACCCTAAACCCTAGTCGAACACAGTTTTGCCCACGACACGTTGAAACGAGTTAGTCTGGCAGAACTCAAGTCGGAAACTCAAAACCCTAAACCCTAAACCCTAGAGACTAAACCCTAAACCCTAAACCCTAAACCCTAAACCCTAAACCCTAAACCCTAAACCCTAAACCCTCACCAGGTCGGAACAGACCATGACCCTGCACTCAAACCTCTTGAGGGCTGCCACGCGTTTGTTCCGTTCGCTCTGAGGCAGTCTGCCGCTGAAGCCGCAGCAGCACAATTAGGGTTTAGGGTTTAGGGTTTAGGGTTTAGGGTTTGAGGTGGCAGAGGTCCCCGCCGCCGCAAGCCCCCACCCTTCACACCCAAAACCCGAAGTCCTGAAGCCCAAACCCTAAACCCTTAACCCTAAACCCTAAACCCTAAACCCTAAACCCTAAACCCTAAACCCTCCTCGGCCCTCACCTCGTGTACACGGCAGTAATGCCGAGGCGCCGGAGGCTCTGAGCCACATGAGTTCCGCTGCAGCAACATAGGCGCAGATCTCAAACCCTAAACCCTAAACCCTAAACCCTAAACCCTAAACCCTAAACCCTAAACGCTGGCGGGCAGTCAGGGTTTAGGGTTTCGTGCTGCGGAGCGAGACTGCAGCAGCAGCGCCTAGGAACTAGGGTTTAGGGTTTGTTGCTCCGCGTCGCGGACTGTTGCGTCCAAGGACTCCTTGCTGAGGGTTTAGGGTTTAGGGTTTAGGGTTTAGGGTTTAGGGTTTACACGACGGGCTCATTGACGAAAACCACAGCTTGTCTGAAGTATATGCGGCTCATTGCATGCAGCAGCAGCTGCAGCTTCAGCCCCAAAGTGCGCAGCCCCGAGTTCTCCAGTGGCAGCTCCATTAGCCCATATATTATCCCTGCAGCAGCAGCAGCAGCAGCAGCAGCAGCAGCAGCAGTGGCATGGGTGAGACAAGCTGCAGCAGCAGCAGCAGTAATGGCAGAGGTGAGACGAGCTGCAGCAGCAGCAGCGAGACGAGCTGCACACGGAGCAGCAGCAGCAGCAGAAACAAGACCAGCCGCAGTAGTTGCAGCGGCAGCAGCAGCAGCAGGACACGCTGCAGCAGTGTCAGCAGCAGCAGCAGCAGCAGAAACAAGACCTGCAGCAGCAGCAGCAGCTCTGCGCGCGAGAAAACGTGGCCCGCAGCGCAGTGACCACCGCAGCAGCAACAGCAGCACGAGCAACAGCAGCAGCAGCAGCAGCAGCAGCAGCAGCAGCAGCAGCAGCAGCAGCAGCAGCAGACCTGAGGGGACCGGGGGCGGCAAAGCAGCATCGGCCATCCGCTGCTGCTGCAGCTTCAGCAGCGCCTCCCGCTGAGCAGCAGCAGCAGCTTCTGCTTCGAGAGACTCCAGCGCTGAAAGTTCTTCTGCGTCTCTGCTGCTGTCGCTGCTGCTGCTGCTGCTGCTGCTGCTGCTGTCGTCGCTCTCCTGGCCGCCCGCGGGCTCGCAGCTAGCCCCGCCCGCCGCGCCGCTGCTGCTGCTGCTGCTGCTGCTGCTGCTGCTGCTGCTGCTGCTGCTGCTGATGTCTGGGCTCGGGCTGGGCGCAAAGCGCACGCGGGAAGAGCAAAGAAACACCCGGCGGATCTCCCTTGGCTGCGTCTGCTGCTGCGCCTCTCCCTGCTGCTGCTGCTGCTGCTGCTGCTGCTGCTGCTGCTGCTGCTCATCAGCAGCAGCAGCAACGAGCCTCTCCGAGCCCTGCAGCAAATCGTTCTCAAGGTAGTGCAGCAGCTGCGGGGCAAATGTTGCTGAGTATGCAGTTAGCTGCGCTCGCGGCCGCAGCACCCTTTCCAGGATCTCTCTGCACACAGCAGCAGCAGCAGCAGCAGCAGCAGCAGCAGCAGCAGCAGCAACTGCAAGAAACGTGCCTGGGTCGCGGTTTTCGGTGCTGATGCAGCAGCAAAACCCAAACCTATGGGCTGGCAGCAGCGCCAACATCAGCCATGCAGCAGCTGCAGCAAAAAACGAGCCGCGACTGCAGCAGCAGCAGCAGCAGCAGCAGCAGCAGCAGCAGCAGCACTGACTTGGTTTGCGCTCTGAAAAAGTTGTGCAGCAGCAGATCGGCCTCATCCAGAATAACAAGGCGAAGCTGCTGCTGCAGCTGCTGCTGCAGCGAAACGTTGCTGCAGCTGCAGAGTGCTGCTGCTGCTGTTGCTGCTGCTTGGGCGCTGGCAGCAAAGAGCGCGGCGTTCTCTGCGTTCTGCTGCGCCGTCTCAGCAGCAGCAGCAGCAGCAGCAGCAGCGTCCTCCGCTGCAGCAGCAGCAGACTCCCCTGCTGCTGCTGCATTTGCTGCTGCTGCTTCTGCTGTTGCTTTTGCTGCTTCCGCCACTCTCTTCGACTGGGCGCAAAGACAGCGGCCGCGCCTGCGCTGCTTGCGGAGGTTCAGCAGCAGCAGCAAACGCCCTGCAGCAGCAGCAGCAGCAGCAGCAGCAGCAGCAGCAGCAGCAGCAGTGGCAGCAGCAGGAGCAGCAGCAAAAGCAGCGACAGCAATAGCTGCAGCTCGTGGTGTCTGTTTTTGAAGTGAGCAGCAACGCCGGAAGCACTTTCGCGCTGGCCTCCTCAGTGCTAGGGTTTAGGGTTTAGGGTTTAGGGTTTAGGGTTTAGGGTTTACCGGGAGTCGCAACAATGATTTGAGGCCTCTTCGCGAGCTCGTGGACGGAGACATTTGTGGAGACACCTCCAAGTAAGCAGGAGACAGTCACGTGCTGCAGCAGCAGCAGCAGCAGCAGCAAAAGCAGCAGCAAAAGGCAGCAGCAGCAGCAACAGCAGGCAGCAACAGCAGCAGCAGCAGCAGCAGCACGCGTAATGAAGTGAAAGGCAGCTTTCTTTAAAAACCCAAAGATAGGAAAGAAGACAAAACAGACACAAACGACAACAACCTCAAACCCTAAACCCTAAACCCCAAACCCCAAACCCCAAACCCCAAACCCTAAACCCTAAACCCCAAACCCTAAACCCCAAACCCCAAACCCCAAACCCTAAACCCCAAACCCCAAACCCCAAACCCCAAACCCTAAACCCTTAACCCTAAACCCTGAACCCTAAATCCTAAATCTTGAAGACATAACGCAGCAGCAAAACAGCCAGGACCTGGGGTTTAGGGTTTAAAGTGTAGGGTTTAGGGTTTAGGGTTTAGGGTTTAGGGTTTACAAACTGCAAAATGTGGGACCCAAGCCCCTGGATTTCGCTGCAGGTCTGGGCGGCGAGCTCTCGAGAGGGAGCGATGGCGAGAGCGAAGCCGAAGAAGCTTCCTGCTGCTGCTGCTGCTGCTGCTGCTGCTGCTGCTGCTGCTGGGGGCGCTGCTGCTGCTGCTGCTGCTGCTGGCGCTTCAGTTGTTGCTGCTATCAGCAGCAGCTGCAGCGCATGCAAAGCAAATGCCACTGTCTTCCCCGTGCCTGACTTGGCCTGCACCACTGCGTCTGCGAGCAGCAAGCACACAAACCCTAAACCCTAAACCCTAAACCCTAAACCCTAAACCCTAAACCCTAAACCCTAGACCTAGAAGGAGCTGCGTTGCCCCCGACCGCTCCACCAGAACTGGGGTTTAGGGTTTGGGGAGAGCTCGTGGCTCTGTGCCGAGAGCGTCTGCTGCGGCTGCGGCTGCGGGCCCAGGCCCCAGGGTTTAGGGTTTAGGGTTTAGGGTTTAGGGTTTAGGGTTTGCAGACCGTGCCCCGCGAGGGTCACTGGCAGCGCAGCAGCCTGCACTGGAGTGGGGTAGTGAAAACCCTCAGCTGCGAGGGCTTTGAGAAGGGGAGGAAGAATTCCAAGATCTCGGAAAGTGACGAGGGGTTTTGCTGCTGCTGCTGCTGCTGCTGCTGCTGCTGCAGTCTGGTTTGCTGCTGCAGCCATCACTGCAGCAAACGGCTCCGCCGCCTCCGGGGGCAGCGCCCCCGGGCCCGCAGGCAGCAGCGCCCCTATTAGTGCTGCTGCTGCTGTTGTTGCTGCTGCTCCTCCTTTTGCTGCTGCTGCTGCTTCCCAGGCGGAGAACTGCTGCGGCTGCTGCTGCACATCTGCGGACCTTTCGAGCAAGTTGCTGCTGCGCTGCGCTGCTGCTGCTGCTGCTGCTGCTTCCGGGCCCTCCGGCATGTGCTGCAGCAGCAGCCGGTACTCCCCCGTCTGGGACCCTGCTGCTGCTGCTGCTGCTGCTGCTCCCTGCTGCAGCTGCTGCTGCAGGAACTCAGCAGCAGCAGCAGCACTCAGGTCGTAAAAGGAGCTCGCATCGTCGTAATCCTCCGGCCCAAACTCTTCCTCTGCTGCTGCTGCTGCTGCGTCTTCCTCTGCTGCTGCTGCTGCTGCTGCCCTGCTGCTGCTGCCTCTGCTGCTGCTGCCTCTGCTGCTGCTGCCTCTGCTGCTGCTGCCTCTGCTGCTGCTGCCTCTGCTGCTGCTGCCTCTTCTGCTGCTGCCTCTTCTGCTGCTGCCTCTGCTGCTGCTGCCTCTGCCTCTGCTGCTACTGCTGCTGCAGATGCTGCTGCTGCGGCGCCGTCTGATGCTGCGGCATTCTGCGCACCCTCGGGGCCGCCCTCAGGCCCCTCATTTGCTGCATGCATTGCCTTCTGCTGCTGCTATCCTTGCTGCTGCTGCTGCTGCTGTTATTGCCTCTGGGGCTTCTAGCGCTACTGCTGTTCCTGCTGCTGCTGCTGCTGCAGCGGCTGTTGCTGCCTTCAGACCTACACATAGAGCGTGGGGGCCCCCAAGGGAAGCAAAGAGAGAAATTCCACCTTTTTAAAAGGAAAAAGAAGCAATCCCGTGGAAGACAAAGTTGCTGCTGCTGCTGCTGCTGCTGTTGCTGCTGCTGCTGCTGCTGCTGCGGCTGCTGGTCCTGCTGGGCTCCAGATATACCCCACAAGGCGTCACACGCGTTTATTGAAAGGCCAATAGAGACTATTTTTCAAAATAAATGTCGAGAAGTATTAAAAGACAACAAAAAATCTAAAGAAGGCTCAGCAGCAGCTGCTGCCGTTGCTGCTATTGCTGCGCCGAGAGTCCGCTCCCAGCAGCAGCAGCAGCAGCAGCAGCAGAAGCCGTCTGTAGACCCGCTGCATGCAGCGGCTGCTGCAGCAGCAACGCCAGCAGCAAGCTGCAGGGATTTTATTTTTAAGGCACACGAAGTCGGAATATTCTTATTGGTGAACGCGACAGCAGCAGCAGCCGCAGCAGCCGCAGCAGCAGCAGCAGCAGCAGCAGCAGCAGCAGCTCTCGTTGTTCGCCCCCGTTGATGCTGCTGTGTGGATTGCCCTCCTCCTTTTAAGCCTTTCTGCTGCTGCTCTTGCTGCTGCAATGATGATTGCAGCGTCGTTCCAGAGGCACCTGTCAAGCCGCCTTGCTGCTGCTGCTGCCTACAGCAGCAGCAGCAGCAGCAGCAGCAGCAGTCATCACATCGCCTGTTTCTCCTCAGCCGCTGCTGCAGCAGCAGGACCGACTGTTTCAAAAATTGGTGGGTGCAGCATGGAGCACATGGGCTTGTGAAGGCTGCCTTCAGCAGCAGCAGCAGCTGCTGCTGCTGCTGCAGCTGATGTTTTTGCTGCTGCTGCTGCTGCTGCTGCTGCTGCTGCTGCTGCAGGAGGATATGAGGTGAAGACCCACACCTTCGACGCCGTCGTTGTGGGCGCTGGGGGCGCCGGCCTGCGCGCGGCATTTGGGGAGGCTTCCCAAGGTGACCTTAAACCCTAAACCCTAAACCCTAAACCCTAAACCCTAAACCCTAGCCGCGCAGCCTAGAGTAAACCCTACACGGAAGCGCCTGCTGCAGCAGCGCGCTGAAACGCTTCTTTGAGATTACTGCTGCTTCGGGATGTAGGAGAAGCTGCTGCTGCTACTGCTGCTGCTCTGCCTGGGGCCATGCTGCTGCTACAACTGCTGCTGCTGCTGCTGCTGCTGCTGCTGCTGCTGCTGCTGCTGCAGGGCTGCGGACTGCATGCATCAGCAAACTATTCCCCACTCGCTCCCACACGGTGGCGGCCCAGGGCGGCATCAACGCTGCCCTCGGCAACATGTGTGAGGTGGGCCAGCTACCCCAGCTAGCTAGCCAGCTAGCTAGCTAGCTAGCTAGCCAGCTAGCCAGCTAGCCAGCTAGCTAGTTAGACAGCTAGCCAGCTAGCTAGCTAGACAGCTAGCTAGCTAGCCAGCTGGCCAGCTAGCCAGCCAGCTAGCTAGCTAGCTAGCTAGCTAGCTAGCCCTCAGCTAGCTAGCCCTCAGCTAGCTAGCTAGCTAGCTAGTCTGCAGCTAGCTCGCTAGCTGGCTGTGGGCTAGCTAGCTGGGTAGCTAACCGGCTAGCTAGCCAGGTGGCCAACTAGCTAGCCAGTCCACAGCTAGAAACATAGCTAGCCACCTAACTAGCCAGCTAGCCAGCTAGCTAGCCGGCTGGCTTATTAGATAGCTAGCCAAATAACTAGCCAGCTGGGTAGTCAGCTAGCTAGCTAGCTAGCCAGCTAGCTAGCTAGCTGGCTAGCCGGTTAGCTAGCTAGCTCTGTGGCCAGCTAGCTGCTGAACGGCTAGCTAGCTAGCAAGCTAGCTGCCTGTTGTGCGCGCTAAAGTTGGCTGGCTAGCCAGGCAGCGCACCAGCAGGCTAGCTAGCTTTTGGGCTCTGTAGCAGCAGCAGCTGGCAGCAGCAGCAGCTGGCAGCAGCAGCAGCAGCTGGCAGCAGCAGCAGCTGGCAGCTGCAGCAGCTAGCAGCAGCAGCAGCTAGCAGCAGCAGCACAAGCTAACAGGCAGCAGCTGGCTAGCGAGGGCGCAGCAAACAGTGTCTAGACTCACAAGCCCATACGATACAAGTTTTAACGGAGTGCCCTGAAGTCTGTGTCTAAATTTAGGTGGGGGTTTAGGGTTTAGGGTTTAGGGTTTAGGGTTTAGGGTTTAGGGTTTGGTGGCTGCTGCGTGCGCAGGACGACTGGCGGTGGCATGCCTTCGACACTGTGAAGGGCTCGGACTGGCTGGGAGACCAGGTAAGCGCGGAGTGGTGGCTTAGGGTTTAGGGTTTAGGGTTTAGGGTTTAGGGTTTAGGGTTTAGGGTTTAGGGTTTGCGCAGGTACGGGCGGGCCTACCAAAGCTGCACTTCTGCACACACCTGCACTGGAGACGGAGGGGCGATGGCCGCGAGGGCCGGCGTGGCTTTGCAGGACTTGGAGTTTGTTCAGTTCCACCCCACTGGCATTTTCCCCGCGGGTCCAAACCCTAAACCCTAAACCCTAAACCCTAAACCCTAAACCCTAGCCCTAGGTGGAGGGCCGCGGCGAGCGCCGCAGCAGCGCCCCGCGGCGGCCGCGGCAGCTGCGGCGCCCCAGAACGCTTTGCAGGGCTCTGCAGCCGCAGAGGGTTGGGACTTGCTGCTAGGGTTTAGGGTTTAGGGTTTAGGGTTTAGGGTTTAGGGTTTGCGCCTGTGAACAGGCTGCCTGATTACCGAGGGCTGCAGAGGAGAAGGAGGCATCCTTCGCAACAGCGAGGGAGAAGCCTTTATGGCTCGGTGAGGCCAGAACCAGGCCTAGGGTTTAGGGTTTAGGGTTTAGGGTTTAGGGTTTGAGGTCTAGGGTTTAGGGTTTAGGGTTCAGTAGCGTTGCTGGGGCGTGGGAATGTTCGGTGTCGCTCAAGCTCGCAGAAGCACCTTCAGCCATCACAGCAGAGTCTGGGGCTAGAGAATTAGGGTTTAGGGTTTAGGGTTTAGGGTTTAGGGTTTAGGGTTTAGGGTTTAGGGTTTAGGGTTTGGGGTTGGGTGCAGTTACGCTCCGACGGCAAAGGACTTGGCTAGTCGAGACGTGGTCTCGCGCTCGATGACGATAGAAATCCGCGAAGGTATTGAAGTGCCAAACCCTAAACCCTAAACCCTAAACCCTAAACCCTAGGCAGTTTCTTCTGTTTGTCTGAAAGCGCTAGAAAGACCGCCAGTGGGGAGTTCGTCTCGTGGCTGTTCCCGCGCGTGTCCAGTCTTCGCCGCAGCCGCTAGGGTTTAGCGTCAGCGCGATGGTCTAGGGTTTAGGGTTTAGGGTTTAGGGTTTAGGGTTTAGGGTTTGTGGTCCCAGGGCGCGGCTGCGGGCCCCGCAAAGACCACTGCCACCTCGACCTCACTCACCTCGACCCCGAAACCCTCCATTCGCGGCTGCCGGGCATTACCGAAACAGCCAAGATCTTTGCAGGTCCCCAAACCCTAAACCCTAAACCCTAAACCCTAAACTCTAAACCCTCTCCACGCGTCAGCGGCGCGGCCCTGCTGGCCGCGCACCAACATCTGCAGCACCAGCTGCTGCAGCACCAGCTGCCGCAGCACCATCCGCTGCAGCAGCAGCAGCTGCTGCTGCTGCTGCTGCAGCTGCTGCTGCTGCTGCAGCAGGCAGCAGGGAACTTGGTGTTTGCTGCAGGAGTGGATGTGACGAAGCAGCCAATTCCAGTGCTGCCAACAGTGCATTATAACATGGGGGGAATTCCCACAAACTGGCGCTCAGAAGTCATTCACTGCGTCAAGGGCAAGGGCCGCATGGGTGGGTTTAGGGTTTAGGGTTTAGGGTTTAGGGTTTAGGGTTTAGGGTTTGGGGGGTTGGGGGGGCGGCCCGAGGGTGTAGAGGCTGGGCGGTGGGGCTTGGGGCGGGGCTTTCGGGTCCAACATTCAAGGTGCAGCGTCTAGGGTTTAGGGTTTTCGGTTTAGGGTTTAGGGTTTAGGGTTTAGGGTTTAGGGTTTGCTGCAGCGGAAGAGTGCGTGTTGGAGGGCCTCTACGCAGCAGGCGAAGCTGCATGCGCTTCTGTTCACGGGGCCAACAGACTGGGGGCCAATTCGCTGCTGGACTTGGTGGTTTTTGGCAAACAAGCTGCTGATGTTATTTCGGAAAAAGTCAAAAAGTGTGCGTCGAGGGTTTAGGGTTTAGGGTTTAGGGTTTAGGGTTTAGGGTTTGGGGTTTCGGCAGGCGCTGCGCCCAGGCGCCTGCGGCGGAGGGAACGACAGCAGCGCCGCACAGGCGACGCGCGCTAGCCACAGCAGCAGCAGCAGCAGCAGCAACGCCAGCAGCAGCAGCAGCAGCAGCAGCAGCAGCAGCAGCAGCAGCAGCAGCAGCAGCAGTGCTTGTCTTGTGTTGTCTCCGCAGCAAACCCTAAACCCTCGCTGCGCCCCGACGCCGGAGAAGAGACTCTGGCGCGACTTGACAAAATTAAAAACAACAACGGCAGCCACACAGCAGCAGAAATCAGAGAGCGGATGCAAAAGGTCTGCTGCTGCTGCTGCTGCTGCTGCTGCTGCTGCTGCTCCTGCTCCTGCTCCTGCTCCTGCTCCTGCTCCTGCTCCT